CATGCCTTAGACCGCTCGGCTACCGTGACCGGCAGTGTATAAGAATAATATATAAGAATTCAGTTCGTACCTCACAGGAAACAGATCCGAACCCACGATCCCGGCTTCCGAGCGAGCGAAGACAGTACATGCCTTAGACCGCTCGGCTACCGTGACCGGCGGAATGTCATATAATTACCTGAAGTTCATTCGAAGTTCAAGTTCTGCCCACACGTCTCCAACGAATCCCATAATCCTCCCGGTTTCTTTATCAATAGCTGTCATTGGAGGGCCCTGCAGCATGTAACACAAGAAGTAACAGAACTTACGACGGAATCAGATTTCACATGAGGCGCAATTACTTTTCAGAACTTTATTTCCCGGGAAATAAAATTTACACTTACCCATCTTACACTTATATTTTTGGTGCATGCAGTAGCGCAGTTAATTGAGGCACTATGCTACAAGCCGGAAGGCCGCAAGTTCGATTCCTGTTGATGTCACTGAATTTTTTAATTAACCTAATAATTCCAGCTGCATAATGGACCTGGGATTGACTCAGATTCTAACAGAAATTAGTAACAGAAATCTTCCTCGGGGTAAAGGGCGGTCGGTGCGTAAGGCTGATAACTTCACCGCCATCTGTGAGCCGATTTTCTAGAAAATGTGGGATCCGCGAAGTCTTACAACTCTATGGGCCCCCACGGCCTACCACAGGGATAGCTTTACACTTTTTTATACTTCAATTTAATGTACGTTACGAATTCAATGCTTCATATGAGGAATGCACTATGCTTAATGCGGTGCATTAGTGGGCGTGTCTGTAAAATTCTTACGTTAAGCTTACATTAGGTCGTTATATGACGTCTAAATGGGGTGGGAATATGGCGAGTGGTAAATACTCAAGGATCCAGTAGGGGACTGAAGTAACTTACGTATGTCAATACCCTATCCCGACATTTTATTAGAGTGACGGACGAAAGTATGGAAATACGCATTCGGCCACGCCGGTAACCTGGCCACTGTGTGATCTGGCATAGGTATAAGGTAGAGCTATCCCTGTAACAGGCCGTGGAGGCCCATAGGGTTGTGAGTTGTTAAGGGTCCCACATTTTCTAGACAATCGGCTCATAGATGGCGGTGAGGTTGCCAGCCTTATGCGCCGGCCAAGCTTTATCCCCAGGAAGATTCCTGATTCTTATTTCTGTTAGAGGATGAGTCGACCCCAGGGACATAGTGGGGCTGGAAGGTTTAGGTCAATTGAAAAAATTGAATTACCTAATCGGGACTTGAACCCGCGACCTTCCGGCTTTTATTATTATTATTATTATTATTATTATTATTATTATTATTGCTAGTAGGGTGAGACTACGTAAATCCCTTGTACTGCGGCCACATCTGGCCTATTGTACCAGCCCCAGATGTTAGGTGAGGGTGATTGTGGAGCAATTGGTGGAATGAAGATTGGCAGGGGAACCGAAGTACTCGGAGGAAACCTGCCCCAGCCTCACTTTGTCCACCACAAATCCCACTTAACCAGACCCGGGATAGAATCCGGGCCGCCGCGATGGGAAGCCAGCGACTAACCGCTTGAGCTATGGCTCGGTTCCGGCTTGTAGCAAAGTGCCTCAACCAATTACGCTACCGCGTGCCCCTGTATATTTATATATATACGTATATATATTTCACCGACAGGCGGCGGTCGCTCGATCGGTATTGTTCGCTTGCGGACTAAAATCACGGAGTTTTATATATATAGACACACACACATACACACACATATATATATATATACCATAGGTTAATTTGTCCCGCTGCTTGAGTAATTAAGCACTACGCCATGAAGACGTATGGGGGAGTGGACGTATAGGTCCACCATTCTTGGATTCGGCACTAGATGGAGACGAGTAGTCAGCTTCACGCCCCAGCCGCTTTACTTCCAGGAACCAGCTGTCTCTGCCCATGTCTAAGAGGCTGCGTGGGCTCCAAGGACGGCGTGGACGTTATGGGGAATGGAAATACTAGCTCCTGCCGGAAATCGAACCCTGGCACTCGATCCCATAGCCCGTCGCTATACCTACTGAGCTATTCTGCTCCTCCATACACTCATACACACACGCGCATGCACAGAAACATATATATATTTATAAAATCTGAGTATAAATTTATTAATGAAATGTTATTCCATTTAGTTAAGCACGGCGGCGGAAAGGCATATGGGGAACAGAGTTAAAACTCCACGCATTCTTAACATTGGCATTCGATGGACATGACAGTTCAGCTCCATGTTAGGTCCTTAATCTACGAAGGAAAAGACCCCATAACCCTTAATAGGGAGAACGCGTGGTTCCCAAGGCTGCTCTCCATGCTTTGGAGAAAAGATAAATCTCTTGCCTCTCTCGAAATCCAACCCGGATTATCCAGCCCTTAACCTAGTCAGCATAGCGACTGAGCTAGTCCATATCCACTCTGCGTATAACGCATGCGTGGATCTCCTATAAATCAGTTTTACAACTAATGGGTGTCAGTCCAAGCACCTGAATTGAAGACGCACTGATGACAGTTCCCTGCAGATTTGACCTCCGATCATAGATGTCTCCCTCGGATGAGACATAGAGTCCGCTACTCGGATTCCAAGTTCCGAAATGAAATTCCTGCAGGTTGTCAGAAATGTGGTACATTTCTGTGAGCACCACGTCCTGGTCCTGGACATGTGCCACGAGGAACTCGCTGTCCAGTGGGATACGTACACCTTGCAGGAGCTCCTGTACCGACCCTCCAGTCGGCAAGCACAGCAGCCACACAGCGTCTTTCATTCTTACCGTTGTAGTCATCTAAATTTGTGTAACAAGATATAAAACCTTTAGCTACAGAATCATTTCCGAATACATTACACAGCTAAAATATAAAAGTTTGTGACGATGGTACATTGGTACAAATATTATGTTTCTGGACATTATCCATCATCCTGGATTTATCTAAAGACCGTCCTGTTTATTTAAAAAAATAACGTTTCGGAGACTAGATTTTGTCTCCGTCTTCAGATAAAACTTACTCAGTTGGGCCCAATCAATAGAGCTAGTCCCTATCTCAGGAGATAGGGAATGTCGCGTTTTCAAAAATAAACAGGACGGTTTTTAGATAAAGACAAAGCGATGGATAATGTCCATAAATATAATATTTGTAATATTATATAATTTTTTCTCATTGTCGACATATTCAAATACTACACTTTTTACCATGTATTAACATTTTATTTAAAACCAAAGTGACAGTAAAAATGTGAAATTCGCCTTATGTAAAGACCTTTTTGTCGTATCAATTTTCAGTTCTATATTTTATACATCATGAAAATTATTGTGAAATTTGTTAACTTCAGATGCTGCAGTATCGCCATGGTGTTCCTTTCCAGCATACAAACAACTAATTAAGGAACGAAAGGAACAGATGCTTTCTTGAAGGACCAATAGCTGCTCAGCTGGGCAAGAAATTCTCCTCCTTCATGGAGTCCGAATATCCATTACGGTATTCACGAAAGACCCCCACTGGATCCGATCCTGGGTCAGGCGAATACAGGTTGAAAACACATAACCAGTTTTTGAAAATATAATTTAATGTCCTCCCATCTACGGCTAGATATTCCAAGTAGCCTTTTCTCTCAAGGTCTTCTTACCAACACACTGCACTACGCATATGCACTTATCTCCTTCATGCATGCTTTGCGTCCCATTCATCACGCTCTTCTCAGCTCCATTACTGTAATAATATTGCTTTAGACTGCAATGAACAGGCAACAGTAGCAATGTGATGTATATCTACTTCATTGGCTTACATATTTCGCCTATTTTTACATTTATTTCTAAATCTGGCATACAACATAAAAAATGTAAAGGTAAAGCTATCCCTGTAACAGGCCGTGGAGGCCCATAGGGTTGTGAGACGTCGAGGCGGCCACATTTTCTAGACAGCCGGCTCACAGACGGCCCTAAGGTTGTCAGCCTTACGCGCGAGCCGCCCTTTATCCTCTACGAATATTCCTGGTGCTCATTTCTGTTAGAGGCTGGGCTCGAACCCAGAGACATAGTGCGGCTGGAAGGATTAGTTCAATTGAAAAATGCTGTAACCTCAACGGGAATTTAACCCGCGACCTTCCGGCTTGTAACACAGCGCCTCAACCAACTACACTACCGCGTGCCCTCGTAAAATTATAAGGAGGATGATAAACAGGGCTACCATTCCAGTGCCTAGCTAAGGCGGTGTGATTGCAGCGAACTAAAATACGTAAGGTTTGCACTCTGCCGGCCACGGTAGCCGAGCGGTCTAAGGCATGTACTGTCTTCGCTCGCTTGGAAACCGGGATCGTGGGTTCGAATCCCATTCAGGGCATGGATGTTTAGTTCGTGTGTGTACGTTTTTCTGTTTGTGTACAGGTAGAGGCCTTGCGACGAGCTGATCACCCGCCCATGGAGTCCTACCGAATGTGTAAGATCTAGAAAAACCGAAGTGAACGGAGAATTTCATGGAGGTAGGCCTAGGCCCACTGGGGCTGTAGTGCCAAGGAAAAAATAAGTTTGCACTCTAATAGCATGATTTAAATACAGAAGAGAAATATTTTTAATGGCGTCGTAAGACAGCCTAGCATGGATTGGTAGACTAACCTCCCTCAGATGCGCGTTGTCGTGGCATGGTAGTATGATATGTAGTGGCATCTTGCAGCCCAGAGGCGAGTCACCCAACGTGTGATAACAGGCTGCTCTAGCTGTGACGTCATGTTTTGCTAGGAGTCTCATCGCATTCACCAACTGCAATTTTACTGAAACGAGACATGTACCAGCGACGTATATTAGAGAACACTGAAATAATTTCATGAAGAACCACTTCGAAGCCCTAAGCATAGGTGGGAAAGTTGTGTTAGAATGAGTCTTAGATAAAAAAAAAAAGGATGTGAAATTGCGGAACAGAACTGTCTGGCTTAGGATAGGATTCAGTGGTCGGCTGTTGTGCAGAAGGTTATTAAACTTCGAGCTTCATCAATTGTGCGGAATGTGACTAGCTGAGCCACTCTAAGCTTTTCAAGATGAACTTAATTTCCGTTAGATAGTTTGGATTATCTTATCTGTGTTTCACATTCGTAAGCAGTCAGATGAAGGGAATGTCTCATATCGTGAGAAACATGTATCCAAATGCAAGGGCTGCTGCGAAAATGCTTATTGAGATTTGTGTTAGGATGTACGAGGTGGTATCGGAAAGTTCCAGGACTGTTACTGTTGTAAATACCTCGGTGAAAGAAGACGAGAGGGGAGGCCAAGGTCAGACTTCCGAAAGCCTATTGTATCAGTCTGTCACGTGACACCGCGCTGTGACATTCATTGTTTTTACACGAGTGCTTTTTCGATTTTGTGTTCCGTCTTGTCTGCGACGGATGGCAAAATCGAGCAACGTGTCTGAATCAAGTTTTGCCTGAAGCTCTGTAAATCCGCTACCGAAACCCTTGAAGTGCTTCGTGAGGCTTTTGGAGAACATTCTTTAAACCGGACAGCAGTTTTTGAATGGCATTCACGTTTCAAGGCCGGTCAAGTGTCTGTTGAAGATGACGAACCTTCAGGGCGACCAAGCAGCTGCAAGACGACAGGAAATTTTGAAAAAAAAAAAAAAAAAAAAATTAAATCATCCACAAAGACAGTCGCCGAACAATCCATGAACTCGCAGATATCGCTGGGATTGGTTATGGAGTTTGCCAGATTTTAACAGAAAACTTGAACATGAGTCTCACTGCTCCTTCATCGCGACGTGTCCTCCGACACGTCCCTGAAAACCCAGGAGTTTGTGACTAACAACAACGTGGTTATCGCTCCACATCTTCCTAGCCACCTGTGATTTCGTTTTGTTTCCCAAATTGAAAACAGAACTGAAGGGGCGTCGTTTTGAAACAGTGTCTGACATCCAAAAGGAATCCGCAAGCGGCACTCGGCATCATTAAGGAAAATTACTTCCGCGGTGCTTCTGAAGCGTGGGAAAGAAGATGGGATCACTGTATACCGTCCCAAAGAGACTATTTTGAAGAAGATTGCAGCCAAAATTGAGAAAATTAAGCCAGAATTTCTTTTTTGACGTAGTCCGGGAACTTTCCGATACACCTCAAATGGTACAATAGACTGATCATCGTGCTAGACTGTAAGGTCGATATGAACACTACAAGTAGAATGTAAATCTAAATAAATTATTTATGGAGAGTGGTGAAAATTAGATTAGGGGCTTAAGAATTTGTACTCATCGTCAAATACAGGGTTACTACAAATAATTCATTCCATTTCAAAACATTATATTGGTCGCCCCGTGCATTTCCGTTTACACAGACAACCAGTATCCTTGAACTGCCGATACCACCGCAAAATTCTCTGTTTACATGGCGGTTCTTTTCTGTTCTCTGCTCTGAATGCACGCTGCACTGCAGTAGCAGACGTACAGCTCGAATATTCCAACACACAGTAACTCTTTTCCAGCTACGCCGCCATTTTGTGAGGCACTGCACTCATGCTACCAACTGGTGTATCACGATGGAAACTTGGTGAGTTTGCGGTTCTTTTCTGTACTCTGCTCTGAATGCACGCTGCACTGCAGTAGCAGACGTACAGCTCGAATATTCCAACACACAGTAACTCTTTTCCAGCTACGCCGCCATTTTGTGAGGCACTGCACTCATGCTGCCAACTGGTGTATCACGATGCAAACTTCGTGAGTTTGCGGTTATTTTCATGTATCAATCATGTTTGTATGTATATTACTTTGGAAAATATAGTGTTTTTAAATGTAATTAATAATTTGTAGTAACTTTGTATTATTCGGAATACCAAATTAAATATGATGAAATGGATGGGACATGTAGCATGCATGGAAGATTCTTTGTGCGGATCCGAATACAGAATACAAACGAAGGAACAAATGAGAAATACAAATACAGCATAAATCAATTTCATCAGACTGGTCGCAAGTTATAGAGTTACGTAATAAAATTAAGGGTATAACAGGAATCATCAGAATAGTAACACACTACAAAATGAAGTGACTAGAACTTTTGTAAGGAATGTAAACAGATCAAATCCCCGAGCTACTGTATCGACACACGGCAGAGCGTGGAGGAATACGTGAATGTCCAACAAAACCTGTGACATTTAGACTCCCGTAACTGAAGTAGGCCAAGCTCTCCTTCAGTGATGGCGACGGTGATGGTGATGTTGAAGAAAATAAAATTAGCCTACTCACGACTGTCTGTCATGTTCTCAGTGTACAAAAATATAACACATCCCGCGCGGAAATATTCCTGAAGAGGTATTAATATGGCTGTGAATGTTGCAACAGAATGCTGGCATCTAACAATTGTTAGTAAATCAACGGCAAAGAGACGCAGAACAATTTTTAAATATGCCATGTTCTTAGTGTGTAGGATCAAAGCAACTGAATCTATTAGAGTACCTAACCTCACGAGAATGAAGTTCTTACTCATTGAATTGACCCGGCGTCTTGTGACGTTATCAGGTAAATGACAAAGTTATAAAAAATATATTCTGTGTTTATAGATTGGAAGTTTTAAAAGAAAAATAACATATTTACTTATAAAACAAACACATTTATGAATGTTATCTAAATGCCAATCTTCTAGAATTTATTGAGAAGCTTAGACAAGTAAAAATGTTACGACACTGAAAACTTTCAACTTGTCAATAATTTATACATAACCTTCAGTTTAGGATATACATTTTTGTATTACAATGACAATGAATCATTCGATTTGTCACTGAGAAATGGCGATATGCTGACCCATTTACGAATTTGTTAAGTGTAATATCCAGCGTATGTCACTATATGTCAGTCTCAATGAGTGTTTGTTGTCAGATATTTCATTAGATGTTTCACGTAGTCACACGACGCTAAACCTCTAATTAAACATAACCCCTTCTGTGTGTTTGTATAAGGTTACACATGTTGCCACTAACTACGCACTTGTTCTCAACTCTTGCTAAGAGATGAAAAACTGTACTATCTTCAAAACAGCTCCTATCTATGGAGTTCATTAGCTGAATGGTTAGTTGGATACTTGGGCCGCGCCATAGCTCAAGCGGTTAGTCGCTGGCTTCCCACTCGGCGGCCCGGGTTCGATCCAGGGTCTGGTCAAGTGGGACTTTTGGTGGACAAAGTGGCGCTGGGGCAGGTTTTCTCCGAGTACTTAGGTTTCCCCTGCCAATCTTCATTCCACCAATTGCTCCACAATCACCCTCACCTATCACCTGGGGCTGGTACAATAGGCCAGAAATGGCCGCAGTACAAGGGATTTAGTCCCACTCCACTAGCAACAAAAAAAACTATGCACTTTTTCATAGCTCTTGCTTGACAGATGAAAGACTGTACTATTTTCAAAGCAGCTCTGATATATGGAGTTCATTAGCTGAATAGTTAGTTGGATACTCCCTGAATTGTTATCCTGAGTGGTATATTAAGTTTTGATTGCTCTACCGAATTCATTACAACTATAAATTTCATGTTTTCGAGGACAGGCAAAAGGTGGGGTCATTTGTATTTTGTGATACTTAATTTGAGATAAGATGATTGTTACTGCACGGTACAGCTTATCGTACTAAATATGTTATTACTAGAATTTGGGCATTATTCAGCCTCGACAGAGTGTTAAACAAACATTTTCAATTTAAACACACTCACACACACACACACACACATATATAACACATATTTGCAATTTAAGTTTCCCAAACTTTGAACACTGACCTCAAGATTTATGCATATTAAATCTCTAATCTTGTTCAAATTGATCAAGTGTATTTCACTTTGCTGATATGGTTTTGAAAATAATGACATTTTTAAACATCTACAGTAATACGAGTATATTACACAAAGCCCTGATACTCGTGGCGAAATATCTGCAGCTACTGGAAAACAGAAACTGGATAAACCATTTCACATGCAGTAGAACTAGACCAATTTCTACATAAAATATTAAGTAAGAACTTCTGCAATATCAGAGTTTAAAAATTATCCACTGTGAGTGAAATCCAGGAGTGATATCGTAGCTGAATAACAGTTAAACATATTACCGATTGAGCTAAGTTACCGATGCAGACCACGGCAACAGTCTAATCTTTCCCTGAAAGGTGGCAGGGCAGTTTACAGTACACGAATTGATTTTCTCATCTCTACGTTGATGTATAAAATTGGTGGAATAAACTTGTGTCAAGTTGTGATGATTTGAGTTCAGTTCAGTTCAGCTTCCTGCAATAATCACTGGCAACAGACATCCTTCTATCCTTATCATCAACTTTGCTGCGGTTTTCAGTGCTTACTTTATGCCAAAAGAGATAGCGCGTAAAGGAAATCTCTGTATTAGAGACAAGATCAACAATTCAAATGCAAATTTAAAAGCTTTTGTGTCATTGGTTAACGATTATAAGGTTAAAATTTATCCACATTCTCCGAAACTCCTTTAAAAATCTATCAGAAATTATATTACTGTAATCTACGAGTTTCAACCTCCAAATTTAATTTTTGATTTCGTTTCTTCTTCGTGCTAACTTCTGACTCTAATCTTGATCTTCTCTAAACTTTCCGTCTTTCTTAGTTTTGTAACGACGCATTTTTTAACCACGTAATTTATACAATATTACGGCTAATAGGAGAAAGATGAAATGAAGAGGATGTGGAAGGAAACGACCATGACCTCTTTCAAGATCCTGTAGCAGAATGTCCTTAGATCGACTGAGGAGCACTGCAGACCACGTGTTAGGACATCACGTCTTTGAGCCT